TGTAAAAGTTCGAGTGAAGTTTTCATCAGATGTTGCCAACGATTTCCATTTCATACGAAACAGATATTGAAAGGATTTCCAAATTTGGCATATGCTTTAATAACAGTTCAAGAACTTGAAACTTAGCTAGCGAGTAATCCATAATTAATTGTTCTAAATAAACACTATTTGTGTTATTCAAAATTCAATGTATCGTCCATAATCTAACTATCACAGAAGTATCCATATTTTTAGTGTACTCAAAAAGTGAGTACACTACTAAAATCGGTCTGTGTGTCCGTCCGTCCGGCCGTTAACACGATAACTTTCGAAAGGAGAGTCAGATTACGATGAAATTTTCTACACAGCTTAGTCTTGACAATATCTCGGTCGAGTTCGAAGATGAGAAGGATCCGCCAAGAAATGGCTGAGTTATCGAAAAAATTGTGATTTTTAACCAGACCATCCCTGAGGGGGGGGGGGTACGGGGATTTTTCGAAAAAAAATTTTTGCTCATAATTATTCACAAAATACGTAAATCGACTCAGTTTTTAACGCTGATTCTGAATCTGATATTAGTTTTGAACTGAATCATAGTTTTGTGTACTCAAAAAGTGAATACACTATAGAATAGTCAGTGTGTCCGTCCGTCCGGTTGGCTGTTTACATGATAACTTTTGACAGCAGAGTCAGATTGCGATAAAACTTTCTACACAGCTTAGTCTTGACAATGTCTCGGTCGAGTTCGAAGATGAGAAGGATCGGCCGAGCCGTTCCTGAGTGATTGCAAAAATACCCATTTTTCCCTTTAGCTTTCTGTGGAAAAATGGACCCATCGCCGCTTTCGTAAAAGATTTTTCCTATCATAGTCAACTAAAACCCCAACTATTATATACCATTCGATAGAGAATTTCAAGAGCTACAAAATGGTATATAAAACATAAAGAAACAAGAAGGTTGACTCACCTATGACAAAGATAATTAAAGAGAACTAGCTTATATTTTTGTCCACGATCTAATTGATCCACAAATAGAGCTCTATCTTCCGATCACAGAGATGATACTTTGAGGTTTTCAGATATGGAGAACTCGAATGTGTACTGCACTTCCATCGAAATACGATTAGTTGCGCAGTGACCAATAGAAATGAAGTTATAGGAAAAACGACTTTCTTACGGTAAATCAAGGGAAAGAGTTCAAACTTGAGCTGTATTTGGCCCATGTCCTATTGGTTTGGCAACGCGCAATAGAAATCAACATTTTAAATGGTAGATTTCACAGTATAATTTCGATATTCAGACAGTCTAGGATGATTGAGTTGTATGATTCACTTTTTGAAGTACACATAACTCTCGGATTTTAATCCGAAGTTTCCGCATTTATTAATATTTTAACATCGGTGTTGTATCTGAATAATAGACATAAGTCAGATAAATCACAATTACAAATGGATAATGGTGTAACTGAATTTATTTCATAAATAGATGCCAAGTTAAATTTGAAGTGTCATTCTACTAATACTCATATGTCGATTCTAACAAGGTAGGTATTAGTTTCGAAGTTCTGTACTGCAGACTGGTACAAAACAAAACAGTCTAAATCAGATAAAAATGGTAACATTGATAGTACTTGTTCAGCATTATCACCTTTTAAGTCAATTAATAATAATAACCGAAGATGAATAAATTCATTTAATTGAAATAATGGGATAAATGGTTGAATTTGTTCAGAGGTGCCTACATTCTTTAACTCTACAGAAGTTATTTTTTGTTTGATTTCTGGATTTGATAATATTGTTTGACAAAATTCATTGGATAAAGAATTTTTAAAATGGTAGGAATTTAGATGTAATGGGACATTTCGAATGAATGTATGAAAACGATAATTCAATCGATTAATGAATTGAATTTATCTCGGGCATTGAGATATTGGAAGCATTTAATGCATATTTCATTTTCGTCAACATTTTATTTAGAATCCAAAACAAAAATTATTTCTTTTTCTACATTACTTATATATGTCATGTCGAAGTTATGCTGGCCGACGAAGTTATATAGTGCGTGATCGAGTGAATAAAAGAATAGCGAGAAACGTTCATCAATGCTAAATATACTACGGTTGACGACATCTGGTTTGACTGGAACAATCAGAAGAAAAAATATGACAGAAATTGCTTAAAATATATGTGGGTGTGCGTTTGCAGATGGAAAAAAATACACCCAACTCACACCACATCCACCTCACTTTGCTTCAATTTAAACCACAAATAGTTTAAGAAATATACACTAGAAACTTATTCATTATTCTTGCTCTTAAATATGTTTACAGTTTTAAGCACTCAATTATTCATAGCCGATAAAGATAAGGCTCTATCGCACAACACACACAGGTAGATACGAAGTAAAAAACAAAAAAAAAGAAGCAAATAATAAAAGAAACATATAGAAAAATACAAGAGGGCAGAGTAGGAGAAGAAATTGAGAGATATCAGTTGTTATGATGCTGAAGAAATGCTTTTCTGTACGTATTTGCAAGCGAGAATATAAGGAAAAAAAATAGCCAGTTAAAGAAAAACTTGTTTGCGTTACTGTTACTTACATCCACAGTTTAACAAATAAAAAAAGTTTGACTTTTCTAACTTTACTACAAGCGTAGAGGTGAGCGACACAAAAGTTTTGTTTTTAAACAAGACCAGATTTAGCTAAGAGAAATACCTTCTGATTTATTCACCTAGAACTGGTTTTATTTGCAGTTTGTAATAAATGAACATGTTTTATTTCAAAATTAGTTTTCTGTAGTTAAGTTTTTTACGGATGATTAACAAAAATAGCGCGAAACATACAGTCTGGCGCATTTTTAAAAACTAGTGTTTCTCTGAAACCCATGCCATTACATTGTTTACTATTCGGACATATATAGGGACGACTTTTAAGCTGACATGTTATCATATGCATGTTGATGAGCTAATTCTTAGTCATGTATCGAATCGAAAGTTATATTTTCAATTTTTTGTTGTTCCATAGTTTATTTCACCTGACAAATGGACTCGGCACAATCCTTACAAGATTCCATATATTTTTTGCGAACTAAACGGATTGGTTTTCGTTCATGGACAGAAGATGACTTTCAATTAGCTTTAAATCTCTGGGGCAACAATGCTGTTACAAAGTTAATTGGTGGTCCATTCACAATTGAAAAAATACAAGAACGTTTTTTATATGAAATCAAAAATATGAAAGAATACAGTTTTCAATATTGGCCCATATTTGTTTTGGAAACTGGAGAACATATCGGATGTTGTGGTTTTCGCCCATATGACAAAGAGAAGAATACAGTTGAAATTGGTTTCCATATTCTACCACAATTTTGGAGACAAGGATTTGCTCGGGAAGCTGCAGATGCTGCAATATCATATGCATTCTGTCATCTAAATGTGAATAAAATTTTTGCCGGTCACCACCCAAACAATGTTGCTTCTTGTCAACTTATTGCACAACTCCGATTTCAGTATAGACATCATGAATATTATCCACCCACTGGCTTACAACATCCATTGTATGTACTTACAAAAGAACAATACTGTCAAAAAACTAATTGATAGTCGAATTTAACGATACTTGGATAGCCGATAATAGGAGATATAGACACATACTTAAAGCTACAGCTGAAAAATAATGTAATCAATTTAGACAAAGAAATTAATACTCGTGTCATTAGTAATCAATAGTGTCAAGCTTGAAAGTTGAGTGTTGGTGTGGATGGGTTTGGGAGGTAATATTATGTCAACCTACACCCACCCACCCATACCCCATACCCACATTTAGGCATGCACCAAAGCCAAACCGCTTGGTTTTGAGGTTTTGGTTTTTATAAGGTATTGGTTTTGGTATGGTTTTGGTATTGAAGGTATTGGTTTTGACCGAGTTTTGAGTTTTGTTTTGGTTTTGGTTTGGAGGTACTCATGAAAAAAATTAATTTTTATAAAACAGATCTATAATGCTTTTCTATAAACTTAAGTATATTTGTTCTCTTGAGATGCACTTTTAAAACAATATTACGGATCTGTAAAAAACAGATATCTAGTAGAAATTATAAGTTGATAGTGAAAAAAATGCTTTTCATGAAATATTTGCACATCCTAACATTCCCAACACGCTGTAAACAATATATTTCTAACAAATTAAGTGAGAAGTACACGTTTCAGTTTATAATAGTTTCTAGAAAGTGCAATAGATTGATATCAGTCTAAAAAATTCTTTTCGTTTTGAATAGATGTCTTCCTGCAACTAAGTACCTGTAGTATCTGTGCTTGTATAGACTTCTGTTAAAGATATTTAACCTTTTTTATCCAAGTGATCTTGTAATTGAACTTATTATGAACTAGTTAAGTATATCAAACGTACGGTCAGATAAGTTATTGTGAATCGCTTGTTAAACTGCATAAGATATTGCTGTTTTTTTTAAATAAATGTTTCCTTACAGTTATTAATAGCATTAAAAGTTGTTGTATATGAAATCTCTTACTTAATATATAAATACGTCTGCCACTTACATGATCAGTTTGAATACTCAATTATTAATTAGATTGACTGTATGAGTTCTAACAGGAATATAATCATAACACACTACCATGCCATAGCATAAAAGTGTTTTTTTAAATGCTATTAAATACTATATTGATCTTGTTAGAGCTGCAATTGAAATAGAAAAGTTTGGATTATTTTGCATGATTAGTATTTGTTCTGCGTATTTTATCATAATGATCTTATTTAAGTTCTTCCTATAACAATCTGACAAATATATCATGCTTCATTCTTTTATTATATCACCAAATGTTTATCGTGATTATAAATAAAAAAAGTAAAAAACAAAACATATATATCCAATAGTGAGTAAAATAAAATACGGTTATAAAAAAACATCAAATAGAAAAAAGTCACTCTTTATTAACAAATTTCATCGAAAAAGAACCGTCGAAGAGAGTACTATTTATAGTCCTATATAATTCTTGAACTCTTGTGTTATATACTAAATTCATCACTAAGTTTGTCTTTAAGAAACATTGAGTAAGATAAATTTTCGGGTGTTAAACGAGATCTTTGTTTTCGTAATAAATATGAAGCTGTACTAAATGCACTCTCTGATGCAACAGAAGTTGCTGGACTTACAAGATGATAACTAGCATATTTATATAAATAATTTAATTCAATTCGATGTAATTGCCAAAATTGCATCTAAAAAACCGAACAAATCAGTTGTGAAATAAAACACTAATATTAATTATAGAATACTTACAACATCCGGATCTTTCTCATCAGCAATAATAGAATTATATTCTCGTTGAGCTAATGACCTATATGCAGCCATTTCTTCGGCTAATTTCTTCTTACTAGCTGTTGTAGCAATTAATTGTGAAGATGTATTTTTTTACCAATAGAATTAAGAAATTTTGCCATGGACGAAGACTTTGATTGTTTAGATTTTTCTTTCATATTCATCTTGAACGGTATTTGATTAACTTCTTGTTGATCAATTGTTTCTTCAATATCATACTGTTCATGTAATTCATTAATATATTGTTCAATTGCTCGTCGTTCACGTCGTGTTAAATAACCATATCCAACAGGATCGAAATACGAATAATTCTTAATATGCAATACAAATCATTTTCAGATGAATATATATAAATATAAAAATTACTTACTTTCATCAATTCCCATTGTTCATCTTTTTGAATAAAATATTTTTGAACTTGTTTCAGTAACATGGTTTTCAAATCACATAAAATTTTCCAATCATTAATATCAGCATCAGTTGAATCTTCGATAAAATCTCGAATTTGAACAATAACAAAATAACTAATACCTATTGTCGGATACTGACTACCGCTAATAAGTTGTGTTGCTTCTACCACTGGCTTCAACACATATTCTAATGATTCAAGAAGCTTCCAGTCATATTGATCTAATTCAATTGAATAAAGTTTTGTCGTTTGTTTCTTATTAAGACCAATATCATGTTTTTCGCTATTAATCTTGTTAATGATCATTTGATACATTAATATAGATTCAATTAAATGATAAGATGAGTTCCATCGACTTTTACAATCTAATTGAAGACAACGAGAAATTTTAAATTATGGTTTAAGATTAACAACATAATTCATTAAAATAGTTGGTTTGTTAATAGGTTTAATAATTGATCGGCATTTTTTCATCAAAATAGCAATATCTTCTTGTAATGTATCAAATGCAGATGAATCCAAATTTTCAACAACACAAATTGACCAATTGTCAATAACATCATCAAATAAATTGTTTGGTTCTTCGTCGATTGATGTTTCGTCCATAGCAATATCGATTTCAATATTTGTATTCAATGATTCGCTCGACATATATGATGATTGACCGAATAATAGATTAAGATTTGAAGGGTGTGGGTGGGTGGGGATGGGGGTGCGGGTGCGGGTATGAGGGTGACATCTTCTATTTACTGACCCTCACCCACGCTCACGCGCACACTCACACCCCACACCCCACACCCACACCTACCCACACCCACCCACACCCACACCCACATCCACACCCACACCCACACCCACATCCACACCCACCCCACTTCCACACCCCACACCCACACCTACCCACACCCCACACACACCCACACCCACAAAACCAAAACTATCGATACCAAAACTATATCAAAACCAATACCTTATCAAAACCAAAACCTCAAAACCCAAAATTCAAAACCAGTATTGGTTTTGGTGCATGCCTACTCACATTCACACCGATACCCATCCACACTCCATACCCTAATTCAATTGCTATTAATTAATGACAGTTAATATCTATAAGTAAATATGCAAACAAGAAAAATCTAAACCATACGTCATAGCAATATAAAAAAAAATATGATAAGACAAGTGTCACGTATGCATAAAATGAACCATCACTTCTATTTCTCAATAGCTACCACCTTATATAAGTAGGATTCATTGCAGCAATATCTCGGTCTCCATATATAACTAACTCCATAAACTACACTATACTTCTTTGTTGCATAAGAATAACACCAACTACTAAAACATTAAAACTGAGAAAAACAAAATCGAAATTTCAACCTTTACATATCCGTTAGAGCTAAAAATTTTAGTTTGTTTATAACTCATATACATCTACTGACTGTAGAAGCAACAGCTAAATCTATAAGTTTGATTGGATTATTTTTTCCTGGGCCTGGTCCTGGTTGACATACAATGCTTCCGACATATATTGACTTTTTCTTTTAAATTTAAGAACGCAAAAAATACTAGAAAAAAGAACATTTTTTTTTACACATATTTGTGGGCTCTATCTAAGAACAAATAAATCATCGACAAAACGACTAGCTCAAATAGTGAACACCTGCGCTATGCTTCCACTTCCCCTCGTATGTTCAAATATTAGCACAACATCATACAATACTATTCGTCATCATCAGCCTTGTGCGCAAATCATAGAGATTTATCATACTTTTTCTTCCTTGAAGCAACTCTCATCGACACACTACTCACTACGCTGACGTCATTTGTGCTATGCAGAATACCGTCAGCTATGTTTCCTCCTCTATAAATTCCATAGTCATATGCTTCGTTCTTGTCTACATATTTGCTCGTTATCTGACATAGGAAAGCAGTAGGTATTTAAGTCAGTAGTTTCAGCAGAATTATTATTCTAAACAATGCTTCGAATCAAGCAAGATTCTGCCTTTTCTACACAACAGCCAGAACAACAATATGTGCCCTTAAAACAAGTCAGTGTCGAAGCACACATTAGATTATTTGCTGCAGATGCCACCATCAAACAAGTTTTTCGAAATGATGAAACAAAACCAATTGAAGCAGTGTATTGTTTTCCAATAGAAGAACAAGCAGCCATCTATTCATTTATTGCTCGAATTGATCATCGAGAAATTATTGCACAATTAAAAGAAAAAAAGGAAGCACAAAAAGAATATAGCGATGCTCTTGAACAAGGACATGGTGCATATTTACTTGAACAAGATGAAAAATCTCAAGATAATTTTATAATTAATGTTGGTGCACTACCAGCTGGTAAAGAATGTCACATCTCTATATCATATGTCTCTGAGCTAGATCTTGTTGAAAATGGAAGTCGCATTCGATTTGTTGTTCCAACAACTATTGCACCTCGATACAATCCAAACAAAGGTGGTATCAGTTCACCGGCTGGTACAACATCAAAATATGTTCAAACAGCTCCATACACAATTGAATTTCGTTGCCAAGTGGAGAAAACTAACATCTCTCGAGTTAGTTCGGCATCTCATCCTATCCAAATTCAACTCGGTCAAGAGAATGTCTATGTCATCGAATTTGCCCAAAAAAATACACATTTAGATCGAGATATCTTGCTAGATATTGAGTTAAATAGCAATCGTTCAAATACCATTGTTGCAGTGGAACCAGGTGCTGTTATGGCTTCATTTACACCAAATGCAGAAGATTGTCAACGTGTGATGAACAATGTAGAGACGACTAATGAGTTTATTTTTGTTATCGACTGTAGTGGATCGATGAGTGATGAAAATAAGATTGGATTGGCACGTGAAGCTATGTTTCTCTTTCTCAAGAGCCTTCCACTTAATTGTCACTTTAATATCATTCGATTCGGATCAACTCATCAAGCATTATTCAATGAGATTACTGCCATTTACAATGAACAAAATGCTCAAAAAGCTGAACAGCTCACCAATCAGTTGCAAGCAGATTTGGATGGTACTGAATTGGTGAGTTTCAACGATTTTATCTTAAAATATTGTTTATTTGTGTCTATTTTAGTTAAAACCGCTTCAGTGGATAGAACAACATCCTCCAAAACAAAGCCGTGCGCGACAAATATTTCTGTTGACAGATGGAGAAATTTCAAATGTCAACGAAGTACTCGATCTATGTCGTTCAATGGCTACTTCTACACGTATCTTTTCATTTGGTTTGGGTCATTCTCCAAGTCGTTCACTTGTCAAAGGACTTGCTCGAACAACAAATGGACGTTTTGTTTTTATTCCACCTAACACTAGTGTCGATATTCATGTTGGTGAACAATTACAAAAAGCTCTGCAATCTTGTATAACTAATATACAAGTGAAATGGAATTTAGATGCTCATGTGATGAGTGCACCAACAAAAATACCACCAGTTTATGCTAATGATCGTCTGATTGTCTATGCACTTGCCAATGAACCAACGTTTGTTTTTGGTCACAATTCTAATGTTGAGTTATGTAATGATAGAAGTCGATTAGGCGATGCAAAAATTGATTGCATTCCAAACGTCAGTATGAATGGAACGATTGCTCGACTTGCTGCCAAAGCACTTATTCTCGAATTGCAACATTCGAAATTACCTTCCTCGGCTATGAAGAAAAATTCAGGTTCACTACAAAGTCGATTTCAAGAAGATCGCCCATCACCAATACCAGCAACGACGATTGACGAGAAAGAGGTGACAAAGAAATCTATTATTGAACTTTCACTCAAGTATCAGATTCTGAGTCCACATGCTGCTTTTATCGGTGTCGAAAAACGAGTGAATGGCAGCAATGTCGATATGGTCTTGCGCGAAGTACCGATTCAAATATCGAAGGATGGTCAACACTTACAGACACCTCGTTTTATGAGATTCAGTGCGAACAGGATGCCAACTAGTGCGATGTCATTTCGTGAAATGCAAGTACAAAGAAAGATGCTGCCTAGCACGGCAGGTTCGATTCGAAACTATGCAATGGATCATTGTGCTTCGGCATCAATACCTCAAGTAAATTTATTTTCAGAGCAAGTTGATGATCGCAATGTAGTGCATAGCACATCATCGTCGAGCACTAGCAGTGGAATTGTTTCTAGTATTACTTCACATCTGTCGGATTTGTTTCATAAAGGAGAAGATAAAACATGGCCTACAGGCGATCAAAATATTGTTCGCTACTTGATTAACAAACAAAAGTTTGATGGTTTATGGGATTTGGATGCGAAAGATATCGAACATTTGACTGGGAAACCATTGGCAAGCTTTCCATCATCCAATAATAAACAAGTTCTCATTTCAGCGATTGTTATTATTGCATTTGAAACTCGCTTTGTGGCATTGTCAGCAATGTGGCATGGTGTAGTACAAAAAGCTCGCAATCGTCTTCTCGATTTACTTGACAAAGATGTCAAACAACTTGAATTGTTATTGAAGAACATTCGTCAACAATTGTGAAAGTTGTTTGTCATCGATTGAACATAAACGCTTCGCTTACTATCATCATGTATCTGTAGAGTCAGAAAACGAGTAACAGCTTTTATTCGCAGAAATTTAACAATAAAAGAGTCGATACTGCAGTGGAATGAAAAGATATCTGAATCGACACTTGTTTACAGTGAATCTGATCCAAACAGCATTACCACTCTCACTAAGAAAAATTTGAAGGTCGTCTCAGTAGTTTCATATAATCTGCTTTATGATTTCTTTCAGAAAACGTCAATAGAAAAGTAAGAAACCTTTTCTATAAGTAGTGTTATGATACCAAGTTGTATTGGGTACTTCACATACTGATAAGGTTTTCCTGCAAGTTAATCATCTAATCTTAGCTTTGCCGTGTCAACTATAATTTTGTCACTCCCTCCATACTCGGATCTAACTTCAAATCTTTCATTGGCAAGTTTTTTCTAAAAGAACAATTTCAACAAATTCTTTTCGACTTCATCACTTTCTTTTCTTTTCTTTTCATATCCATCATTTCAGTATTGTTTTTTTAACTTCATTTTCTTGCATTTTGTATTTTTACACAAATCCATGTTGTTCCGTTGAAGATAATGAGATTTTTATCGATTGCTGTACTTTTAGTAGTTTCAAAAAGTGTCGAGAATGATTTTCTATGAATTGGGCTCTATGATTACGAAGACTCTCGACAGATTTATCGATGTCCAGATCATTTAATATTTTCTCAATAACATCGTAATCATAATTATTTTTTTTGACTTGAAACACCGATTATGGTTTTATCTCTCAAAATGAGTTACAAGTGTTTTATGCCATTATATCCCTGATTATTTTTCTCTATAGATTGATAATTGACATTATCTTCTAATATTAAATCTAAATGATGTTCACTAACATATGTCGTCATATCAGACATGCTTGTCGGTTTATCTTTTCTAGTATTTGCGAAATACTCTTTTGTTTTTATTATGATCTATCATCCCATGCTCATTTGCTTTTATTGTCGAAAATAATCGATAAATTCAAATTGACTCTACGCAATGGTGTTATATTTGGCATTAAATTTAACATGTGTTTTGCAACAGTATTGCAGTTACTACCTTTTTTCCATTCTTTTTTTTGCTTTTTTCGACTTTGGCTACCTATATGTTTTTTTTCATCGATAATAAAATGATGCTGTACCCTCGCTGAAATAGCATTCGTCAATTCACCCATATTATAACTACGTCACAGTGAGAGAGAATGCGACCATGTAATTTTCAATATTTGCTCTGTAATTGTATTTGATACTGATTCATTATTTCAGACAAGTCGTTGATGTTTAATTTCAACATATTTCTATGCAACGACTTCAGAAAATGTGCGAGTTTGTCTGTATACATGCTAAATTCACCACGATTAACCTGACTTCATTCAATGGGATATTTTTGATTTTCTGATTAACTCATCATTTAGCTCTACTATACCTCGTTTCTTAAGAGTTTGAATTTCTTTAGTGCCTTGTTTACTGACAGTATGATAAAGATATAAAATCTGATACATTGATAAAACTTCTTGATCTCTTTCTGAGAGTTTTTTTAGAAGTCTGTTATGAACATTCTGAATAATAAAAGTTATTCCATAGATTTTATTCAGAGGGTCAAATGTCCTTATATTCAGGCTTGCTGATCCTTATATTCTCTCTATAAATGATAGAATACTTTTGTATCATGGATTGTCAGTAGAACCTCACTACTTACGCCAGAAACTATGCCCTGAATTAAGTTTTCCTTTAACTTGTTCTTTATTCATCAAGTCGATTGCATACATTTTACGCGCCATTTTCAGTAAATTAGATTCACGAAACTTAGTATTGACATTGTTCTATATTGTATGCAGAATTTGTGGTGGCAACTGTCATCTTGCTTTCTCTACTTGTCTTATTTATGGCAGACTATAGTGATAATTGAATTTTGTGGTACTCGTCATATCTTCTAAAACTATATATGCTACCAGAGAGATGCCGAGTTTTCTAATACACCTCAATCTAACGATTAACCACTGGTAGTGTCTTACGTGATTGATTTTTTTTTTATCACGATCATGAAGGAAACAGGGTTCACAATCACAATCACAATTTGGTTTTTCAATTATAATCGCGGTTACAGTCACGATCACGAATATTCCGCGATTAAATTCACGATCATGAATGTTACATAGTATTTAGAGACAAGAAACTTTTGTGGAACTCACGCATATTTTCGAAGAAAATAGTGATTTGTAAGTTTTAAGTTCGAGGTTTCGCGGCTCCCCCTCCCCTTACAGACAGGCCCCCATTACAGACCTTAGCGACCAGGTTTAAAATAATGGATATACATATGCATATATATATAACAGAGGGCATGGTAAATTCCGCTTTTCAGGAAATTCAAAATTGGCTACACCTAAAGTGCAGGAGATTGCAACGAACAGTATTAATGTGATAATGCCCCGAGCTAATTTTCACATATAGAGGCTCATTATATATTATCATATATAACTGTTCTGATACTATATCATAAAAAATGTGTATATAACAGATCTCTATTATTTATATTCTTATCGAATCATGGCACGCATTTTTATATGTACATAATATATGGTTTGATTTAGGGTTGGGTTGGGTTGGATTGGGTTGGGTCGGGTTGGGTCGGGTTGGATCGGATCGGGTTGGGTTGGGCTGAGTTTGGTTGGGTCGGGTCGGGTTGGGTTGGGTCGGGTTGAGTTGAGTTGGATCGGGTTGGGTTGGGTCGGGTTGGGTTGGGTTGGATCAGGTTGGGTTGGGTTGGGTTGGGTTGGGTCGGATTGGGTTTGGTTGGGTTAGGTTGGGTTGGGCTGAGTCGGGTCGAGTCGGGCCGGGTTGGGTTGAGTTGGGTTGGGTGTGTGGGTGGGGTGTGGGATGTGCGAGTGGGTGGGAGGGTGTGGGTATTGGTGTGGAAGGGTAGGGATGTGGGTGTGTGGGTATCGCTGTGACATTAACAATTACAACACCCATACCCATACCTACAGCCACAGCCGCACCCGCACCGACACCCACACCACACACCCACACCGACCCACACCGACCCCTACATCCCACACCCACATCCCACACCCACATCACACGCAGGCACCCACACCGACACCCACACCCCACACTCACACCACACCCACGCACCCACACTCACATCCACACCCAACCCGACCCGACCCAACCCAACTGGACCCAACCCGATCCAACCCAACTCGACCCAACCCGATCCAACCCGACCCAACCCGATCCAACCCGACCCAACCCGATCCAACCCGACCCAACCC